ATTCCCGTGTTCCGATCTATTCTGAGCGCCGTCCTACCTCACAGGGCTGGACCTAAACGGTGTTTCGGCGATTTCGTGGGCCGCTTTCGTTTCGATCTCGTTTTGCGGCAAAGGCGTATCGAAGACAAAACGATGGAAAACGAGAACAAAACGAAAACGAAAAACACCGTTTAGATTCAGCCCTGCTACTTCAATGATCGAGTGGCCTCACCTTTTCCGTCCTCCCGAGGGGGCGTGCGGAGCCCAATCTTCTTTTCAACGCATTCCTACTTCATCTAAGTCGGGCGTGTTCCTCTACAGGAGGAATGTTCAAACATGGTCAAACAGTAGTCTGGGGACGATTCTTCAACTATTTCTGGCAATTTTTGGATCTGCTCTGACTATTCTGCACGTTTACATCCGCCTGTTAGGGGCACGCCCGACCTCAGCGTGGGCTCCCGGGGGTCCTCGCGGAGCTCGTGGAGCTGCGCTGGGCCCCCCCAGATGTCGCTCTCTGCGTGCCCGCCGCGCCACTCCGAGGGAGATCCGCCCCGGATTCCGATTTCGATTCCGATTCGGTTCGGCGTCGATGGCTTCCGATTCCGGTTCGGTTCGATTCTGGATTCCGAGTTGGACTCCGGTTTCGCAACGAGGCCTTACTACTCTGCCGGTTTCAGCCGATTCGTCATCTCCCGACTTGGCTGCCGGTCTCCGCCGATCCGATCAATTTCGATCGCCGATTCGACTTATCGATCCGATTCTGGCCTCTCCTACAGCCAGCCCGTATGACCCAGACCCCCTCGAGCCATGAAGAAAGACGCGGAAAGGTTGTTCCTCCAGTTTTGTCCTGTGGGGGGGGGGGGCGCCCTTCCCAGGCCTCTGGGCCGTCAAAAAACGAGTCGGGATGAGCAGCCGGTCCTGGGGAATGGGTCGAGAACTCTGGGGGTCGACGTTCTGAATCAAATCGCGACGTCCCGGGTCTCGGGATCGGGACAGATCGCTCCAGAGCCTTCCGGAACGCTCTCAGAGCGTTCCAGTCGGAGGACGCGCAATGCGGGGGGGGAGGGGGGCGATAAGTGGGGGGAGGGCGGCGAGGGCTACCGAAAAGGGGCCTTGTAAGCTAAGGGCCCCCAAGGGGGGCCCTTTCTAGCGACCCAGAAAGGGGCCCTCGAGGGCCCCAAAAGGGCACCTCCCCCCCCCCCCCTTGCTCGCCCCCCCGTGAACCCGCGCCCGGCTGCCCAGGGCGCGAAGAGCATCGCGAGTCGCGCCTCGCGGGGCCGCGATGCGCGAAGTTGGGCGGCCTGTGCGCATCGCGGGGCGCGGTGCGCGATGGATGCATCGAGGGCGCGATGACGTCGGGGGCAGGGGCCCCCTGCCGCAGCCGTCGTCGTCGTCTTCTTCGTCTTGTTCGTCGTCGTCGTCTTCTTCGCAGTCGCGGGTCGCGCATCGCGGGCCGCGATGCGCGAAGTGAGGTGGCATACCCAAAGATCTGACGCTCCAGAAAAAACGGAGCTGTAGGTTTTTGCGGTTTTCGGTCTCTGGGGGCCCTCGCCGGGCCTCGGGAGCGTCAAGGGAAGCAAAGCCGGGGCAGTGGTCCAGACCTCCGGGGCCCACACATCGAGGGAATTGGAGCAGCCAGATGTCTGGGTAGATGCGTCCTCCAGACCGCCAGCTCTCAGAGATCCCCGACGTATGCCGATTCGATCTTGCCCCGGTCCTGGCTGCATGCATCTGGCCGAGAGAAGAGAAGGCTTAGGGTGGGCGATGGCTCGGCCGCGCGCAGGCCGAGATAGATTGGAGGCAAGGCGGCCCTCTGAGAAGCCAGGGGGGGCTTCTCGGAAGCCACCAGCCCATTCGCAGGGGGCTTCGGGGAGAGGCTTCTCGGCAGGCCCCGCCCCCCGCCCTTTTTCGGGGGCGCGCGCCAGCCAGCCAGCCAGCCGGTGCGGCCGCTGCAGGCCCCTCTCCGGGACCCTCACGGGTCCATCCAGCCCGCGAAAGCAGCCCGCGTCGGGATGGAAGCGGGAGCTCTGGCCGCGACGTGTGTCTACGGCGTCGCGCTTTTTGTTGCCCACGACATTCGGTGTGTGCGTGTGTAGGCGGTGGGCCAGGGGGGGAGGAGGCAACCAAAGTTGTTGGATGGGCACCAGCCGGGCCAGAAGACAGGCCATACGCTGCCGAGCCTGCGTTGCGTGCTTTGGGGGCCGTCTTCTGGCCCCGCGGCCCGTTGGATGGTTGTTTCGGCCACCCGCCCCGTCGAGCGGCGGGGCCGGCGCGGCTCCAGGCGTCGTCGATGTGCCCCATCTCTCGGCAGCAAATCATGGGAGCCTGGTATGCCCTCAGAATCCCGTCTTTAGCGTCGACTAGCGTCGATTAGCATTTGGGAGTCGATGGGATGTGCCGATTTCGCATCGGTTAGCATCGATTAGAGTCGACTCAGCGTCGATTTAGCGTCGATTTTGTATCGACAAGCGTGGATGAGCTTCGATTCGTAAGAGCCGACAAGATGGTGTGGGAGGCTCCCGTGAGTTGCCACCGAACCATCTGCCGGTGCGGGGTGGACGAGTCCGTGGGCCACGACGTCGCTGCCACCCTTGTGGCCAAACAGGGCCTGGAGGGCAACGCCATACTGGCGACGCAGCTCCTCCTAGACCTCAAGGCGCGCGCCGCGCCGGAGTCGGCCGTCTCCTCCG